AGCTTCACCTGTGGTCAGGGGTGGGGTGCTACCGATTCTGCCCGGTTCTATAGATCTGGTAGCTCTGAAGAATGGCAGACACCAAACCAGTTCTGTGTTTGCTGCTGTTTGGCCCACCTGGCCCACCTGGGCTCTTACCTGTCCTTTATTTCCTGCTTTTTTCAACCTCAGCGGCTTTGCGCGGAACAGCAAAATGTAGTCACTGAACTGGTAGTAACACCGGTTGAATCCCACCCCTGCCTGTGGTTACTTTGAAGTTATTTTATTTATTTATTTAATTAATTAATATTGCCGCCTATTCGCCCATGGTGACTTGAGGCAGCTTTCACAATATAAAACCATATTAAAAAATAAAAATAAAAACAATAAAACCAATAAAAGGAATCAAATAAATTAGTACGGTACAATAGAACAAAAAGTTCTAAATGCACTAAACAACAAGTTACCTAAACGCACTAAAAGTACATGCAGATGGAAAACCCTCTTCCAATCCAATACCGCTCCCCAAACAGCTTGAAGTGGAATTGCAGAAGTTCTCCCTCCAGCCAGTTTCAAAATGCTGAGAAGCAAACAGGGTTCCTTCTATCTAACCAATCAGAGTGCAGAAAAGGGCCTTGACCCCGGCCATGCCTCCAAGCATGTGGTTGCGGGAATGGAGGTGGCTGCCAAACTGCCCTGCAGGACCCAATCCCCTTGAAGGCACGTAGCTCAAAAAACTTTATCCATATAAGATAATTAATTTGATGGCTTGTATCCATGATAGCGAATGTGTGTATACAAGTCCCTGCACTTTGCATTGCCTGCTTCTTAGAGCCAGGAGACAGTGACTGGCCCAAGATCCCCCAGCTGACTTCATGCCTCAGGCAGGACTAGAATTCACAGTTCCCCAGTTTCTAGCCTGGTGCCTTCATCGATGTACCAAACTGGCTCTCTGGTCATAGGAATTGCCTATAGTAAATGCTGGGAAAGAGGTTGAGAAAGGAAGCCTAAGAGATGGAGGTTGAGCAGTAAAAGGACTCATCATTCTGGAAAGCATCATCTCCTTTGAATATGTTTTGAGTTGCAGCACAGTGCATTTAGCAGAATATTGAAAGAGGAATAGGAAGCTTTCTTCACCTCTGAGGAGAAAAGATGGGTATACGAACCTTTGTGCGTACACCACAGATCTTCAGTCTAGTAATGTTTCAATTATTCTTAGCTCAATAGCAACTGGAAGCATTTGGACTCTTGCCTGATATTATGGCAACATATTATGGCAGCCTGCCAGGTAGGAATTCAGCAGGTGTAGGTACCAATCTTGAGCAGGTAAGCTGAACAGCAAGTCCACTTGATTGTGGCTGGCAGTGGCTGGGTTTGCTGAGGATGTTAAACTGCGATAGATTTCATTTTCTGCTCAGTATGAACTCAGTTATTCAAACAAGCCATTGTTAAGCAAATTGTGGGCTTACCACAAAGAGTGAACATCCAAATGACCGAAGGCTAAATTTATCCATATAAGATAATCAATTTGATGGTGTAGGAAGCCCCCCTCCCCAGATTAAAATATTCTTTATTTTTAATAGTAAAAGAGGCAGGGTAGAATATTTCCACAAAGAACAAATGAAGAAATATGTTCTTAAAGGCAGAAAGCATCCCCAGTCTTCCTGCCATAGTAAAAGAGCCTCAAGCAGAAGAGACTGGTCTTTTGAAATGGAGATTTTTATCCATTTAGGAAGACTGTGCCAATCTATTCATAAACAAAATGCACAGAAGGTTGGAGCTGATGGGATTAAAATCTACATTCTCCCATCCAGATTTTAAGGACAGGACCATTAGGACATTAAAAGGATTAACCCACCCCCATTGAAATAGTAAAAGAGA